TGAGGTTTAGCATGGTCACTCCTCACTTAAAACTTTACCGGGCACCCATCACTTGTAATATTGGTGGTGGGAAGGCTGCAGATGCAGATACAATATAAAATCTGACCGAGTTTATGACCTCTAATATCTTACTGGCACCCTCCTCCCAAAGCTGATTTTTAAAAAATATTTTTTCTTCCTTTTATTGATTATAGAGAGAGAGGAAGGGAGAGGGAGAGACAGAAACATCAATGAGAGAGAACACCTATTGGCCGCCTCCTACATGCTCCGCACTGGGGATCGGGCCCACAGCGTGGGCATGTGCCCTGACCGGGAATCGAACCGACGGCCTCTTGGTCAACGCTCAACTACCAAGTCACACTGGCCAGACCCAAAGCTGCTCTTTTTGCTCCCCCCTAAAAAAACAAAACAAAAACCATATTGTCAACAGAGTCAGGACATTTGACGTGCTCAGGAGGAAGGACTGGGGAGGAAGAAGACACAGAGAGGAAAACCGTTAAGCTCTGGAGTCCAGACTAAAGAAAGGCTCTCTGTGAACTATTTCGGTGTGAAGTCTTCTAGAACGGTCTCTTTAGTTACGGTGTGCTTACTAAGATGGTTCATAGTTATATGGCCAAAATCCATTCTCTGTTAACTCAGAGACTATTAAAAAACTATAAACAAGGGAATAATTAAGTGTCTGTTGACTACCTTAGTGTGAGATCATTGAAAAGGTCATCAAAATAATTACTAAGTATATATTTGAAGAGTTAATTTTAAGCTCTTTGGATTTTGCTTTTTCTGATATTTGAACTCAGGATTGGTGAAAATTGTAAGTAAATATTACCTTAATTTTTCCAATTACTTTTTTATTGTGGTAAAATATAAGTAACATAAAAATTTCCACTTTAATTATATTTAAATATACAGTTCAATGGCATCAAGTGCATTCACATTGTTGTACAAACATCACTGCCATCTCCTTCCAAAATTTATATTACTGTGATTTTTTTAAAAAGTATTAATTGATGTAAGCATCAAGGCCCACTTATCACCTGCCTTTCCATTTTATATATTCCGCTTACAGAAAAACGGAACTTCTGCTGTGCTCTAAAATTATATCTAGAGCAATTTCTGCATAAATTGAAGATCGGCTTATGGATGTTTAAACTCAGCAAAGAATTTTAACATTCTACCAATTCTTATGTTCTATAAGAAAAACACTATGTTATTGAATCTAAGCACAGAACACTTTTTAGTTGAACCATAGCAAGGCTATGAATACTAAACATTCTCTTCGGTTGGAGTGAAATTTAAAGTTCAGATTCCATGTGGTTCTAGGAACAGTAGAGTATGCCAGAGCGGGAAATAACAATAATAAGCCATAGTCTAGTACACTTCTTGGCCCTCTGCAGACTGTAATAAATGTTTTATATGAATGAAAGTACTTAGAAGGAGAGAAAATTAAATGTTATATAAAAATGTATTATTAATTTAACAACTGTATAGATCATGATAATTAATAGGCAAAATGAATGTCCAATTACTAGTGGAAAGAAAACAACAAATGCATTACAAGTCCTTGTGTGAAACAAGCTAAAATTATTCTAAGACATTAATTAGATGTGCATAGGCACACGCTTTTAAAAACTGGAGCAAAGCAGTCAGTGGCTTAGCAAAGGTCACACTCTGGAGGGGCGGGGTCACAAGGATGGAACGGAGCCTCTCAGGTTGAGATCCACGGTGGGGAGCACCCAGAAACTGTGCAGACAGAGCCAGGCCACCTGGGTTTCAGTTTCTCCTTGGCCACTTATCATCTGCGTGGGATCAGGCAAACTACTTAACCTTTGTCTGTCTCATTGCTTTATCCTAAAAGGAAGCCAATCATAAGTTTCTGTGCGAATTAAATGTGTCGAGACAGGTTTTTGTGTCTCACACTGCACATGGCACAATCTAACAGCTTAATAAATGTTAGCTGCTATTACTGCCATTCATCCTTCATGATTCAACACATAACACAAAAACGAAATTCCCCTTCTCCCTGAGAAGAGTTCAAAATAATAGAGTACTAAGGGAAGGTATTTGTTTTCATGGTTTTCCATTTATTCTCTGTGACTTAGGGCTGATAAAAAGTGGCCTTTTGTGAAACAGAGAATAAGGCTACTGCCACCACCACTACCATCCTGCATTACAAACACCATCACCACGAGCACTGCAATGACCATCACCACCGTCACCGACGGCACCCCCGCCCGCTCACCACGACCACCGTCCCCGACGGCACCCCCGCCCGCTCACCACGACCACCGTCACCCCTGCCCGCTCACCACGACCACCGTCACCCCTGCCCGCTCACCATGACCACCGTCACCGACGGCACCCCGCCCGCTCACCACGACCACCGTCACCCCTGCCTGCTCACCATGACCACCGTCACCGACGGCACCCCGCCCGCTCACCACGACCACCGTCCCCGACGGCACCCCCGCCCGCTCATCGTGACCACCGTCCCCGACAGCACCCCCACCCGCTCACCACGACCACCGTCCCCGACGGCACCCCCGCCCGCTCACCACGACCACCGTCACCCCTGCCCGCTCACCATGACCACCGTCCCCGACAGCACCCCCACCCGCTCACCACGACCACCGTCCCCGACGGCACCCCCGCCCGCTCACCACGACCACCGTCCCCGACGGCACCCCCGCCCGCTCATCGCTACCACCGTCCCCGACGGCACCCCCACCCCCGCCCGCTCACCACGACCGCCGTCACCGACGGCACCCCCGCCCGCCCATCAGGACCACCGTCACTGCTTCACCCCCCACCTCACTTGCAACAGCAGCAACACACCTTTAACTTCCATATGAGTATAAATTTGAACTTAAAAGTGTCATTGGGAAATGAACAATAACAGACAAGATGTAAGTGTGTGTATGCTGGTAAGAGGCAGAACAGGAAATTTTTATTTTATATATATATATATTTATTTTAGAGAGGGAGGAAGGAGTGGAGAGAGAGAGAGAGAGAGAGAGAGAGAGAGAGAGAGAGGCTGGGGGAGAAACATCCATGTGAGAGAGAGACATCGCTCTGTTGTATCCTGTGTGCCCAGACTGGGGATCCAACCACAGTCTAGGTATGTGCCCTGATCAGGAATTGAACCTGCGGCCTTCTGGTGCATGGGATGATGCTTCAACCAACTGAGCCACAAGGACTGGGGCAGGAACAGAAAATTTTTCAGAGGGTGTTTGGAACCGTGTACAGAGATAGTAAAAGGCATAAAAAGTAACCAGTCTAGAGTAATTTTTCACATAAGACAGTTTTATACTGTTGTTACAGAATTAATAAATTTCACAAACTTGGGGTTCAAGTAGCTAAAAGGAATATACTAGGAAAAGACTGTAAACAAAGACTGAGTCAGTAGCCTCAAGGTAAAACCACTGGAAACATACAATTAAAACTTCCCTCTTATATCCAAGCTGTGCTGTTTAGAATCATTAGCTAAGGTTGTTCAAACTGTGGCTAAAAGAATGGCCTTTAATTAGAGTCCTGGGTTCGAGTTCCATATCTGCTACATATCTGACCTTGAGTAAGTTATTTAACCTTGCAAAGCCTCAGTGTTCTCCATCTGAAAAATGGTGATAACCATTATTTAGAGTTTGTATAAATAAATACTAGTATAATGTGCTATGTCGATTATACTCAATTAAAAAGATATATGTGATAGTAGCATTTAGCACAATGCTTATGTTACTCTCATATTAAGACCTCCCCTGTCACTCTCTAAAACAGTTTCATGCCCAATCTTAAGGTAAGAGGGAACATTGATTCATCTCTTTCTCTCATCCCTTATCCCTCACCCCAAGGGAACTCATTAGCAAATTCTTTCAGTTTCAGTTCCAGAATGTAGCTCAAATCCATCCACTTCGCTGCCACTATCCCTGCCCAGCCCTAGACGACTCTGATAGATCCTGTCCCAGCTGCTAGTCAGAACAATCCATTTTCCACATAGCAGCCAAGGTGAGCTTTAAACGTATCAATCAGGTGATGCTCAAAGCCTTCGACAGCTTTCTGTTACACTTCCAATCAGACGCTAACTCTTTACCATCATTTTCTACACGACCTGACCCCTGTCCATCTTTTACTTTACTTCTTATCACTTTCCCTCGTCTCTAGAAACTTTGGTCACACCATCCTCCTTACTGTTTCTTTAACACACCGATCTGCAGCTCTTCGTCCACGGAGGCCACCCACACCCACTGCCTCCTTACTCCACCCAGTTCTTCTTCATTGTTTTGCCTTGTTTTTCCCACAACTCTTATAATCTGAAGGTATAACTATATGTCTATTTACATTTATTTAATCTGCTAATACCAGAAGTAAGTTCCTTGAAGACAATTATGTTACTGGCCACAGACGATTCCCTGTTGTATTATTTCAGTGTTCTATTATCACACATGATCATGTTCCTAGTCCTAGTACCAACAGCAGTGCCTAGGATATTTTTGTAGTAATAAAATATCCATTATACAAATGAAAATCAAAATTTGGGAGGGTATTAAATGTCTGACATAAATAATATCTCATTATGGAGAAAACTATAGGGGCAGTTTTTCTATAGAGTAGGAAGCCCTCAAATGCCCAAATGGAGGCAAAAGAACAGATGGGAGACTTTTGTCTGAAGGTCTCATATACAATTTCCTCATAAGCTATTCTGAAACCAGTACAAGAAAGGTTAAGAGAAACCTTATCAATTGTGTTCTGTTCCAGAGCGTATAATTGATCTGCAGTACTTAAAGGTTATACTTTGGCTAACACAAACATTCCAAAGCTAAATCATTGTCAAGGGCACGTAATGCCCAAAACCTGAACGCAATGGTTCTGCCACGTAAATAAGAAAAACATGGTGATAGGCTTAGGCATTATGATTATTTACTTGTAGAAGTATGGGATTAGTTATAAGAGTATATAATACCCAGAAAGCAAAAATGAAAGTGACATCGAATTTCAACTATACTCACTGTGCATGGGGTCTGCATCCATGGTTCCCCATCGATCTGCATCGGCAAAGACTTGCTAGTCCTGAAAGGAAGAAAATATTTCCTTTTAAGTAAAACAATGAAATTTACCTAACAGACTGCATATGTAAGATATAAGATGATGAGAACAGGAAATGCAAATAAGGTAACTGCTGGGCTCTGAAGTTATCTATTTTATTTTTTAAAATTATTTTTATTAATTTATTTTTGTTACAGATGTTTCTCCTTTTTCCCCCATTGACACCCTCCTTCACATCCTCCCCCATCCCCAGCTTTGTTGTCTATGTCCATTGGTTATGTGTACATGCATATAAGTTCTGTGGTTTCTCTCTTCCCCCCAACACCCCCTCTTCTGAGGTCTGTCAGTGTGTACCCTACTTCTATGTCTCTAGGTCAGTTTTGTTCATCAGTTTGTTTAGTTCATTATATTCCACAAATAAGTGAGATCATGTGATATTTGTCTTTCTCTGCTTGGCTTGTTTCGCTTAGCATAATATTCTCCAGGTCCCTCCATGTCATCTCAAATGATAAGAGATCTTTCTTTCTTACAGCTGTATAGTATTCCATTGTGTAGATCTGTTTTAAAAGGGACTTCTACTCTTGCTTATTAATGACTACCCTAAAAGGTACCTTGATCACAGGGATGTTGAACTTTGTGGTAAATGTGGTGATATAAACAAAAACTCTGATGCCAATAAATAAATAAAAGAATGTAGGGTATATGTTTAATGGTAAAATCAGAATTCCTACAGCCAGAAGAGACTCTTTGTTCTTATGCAAACCTGGAAAAAATATGTCTGACATCTCAGACGTCCCAGTATCAACACTTTCATCAAAATAACACCAAGCATATCCATGCTTTGACCTTAGGGTCATATATACTTTTTTTTCTACAGGTGAAATTTTGGAAAAAAATGTTTCTTGACAAGGTTTAAATTTAATATATATATATATAATTATAATTATATTATAATTATATATATAATTATATATATATTCTATATATATAATCTTAATTTGTAATAATTATTTAATGTTATAGAAAACCTGGTGCATTTTGGTCCATGAAAAACTTTTAGAATGCTCAACAGTGTTTTCACTGGGAAATTTGCCCAGTAGATACTTCGACGCTTCGGTAAACCAAACTGAGTGTGACCCAGATTAGAGGGGATGAAATTTATATGTTAAAATTATATCCATGGTCTCAATATGGGAGTATCTAATCCCAACGAGCCTGATAAGGAATGGCTAACCAATTTTCATCATTTTGAAATATATCAGTATTGATCATTGATAACGTGAGGCACAAGTAAGACACATGTTGTTATCAGAGTCCTACATACTTTGAGTCCGTTTGTGGTTACGTCGCCCCCCCCCCCCTTTCAATTATGAGGAAAGCACTACCTGATGACCACCGAGGAGCACTGAGCCAGCCGCCTCCCTGCACTTTTCAGTCCCGTGTATATTTGCCCCATCTCCATGGCTCCTTCCAGACCAACGACCTCCAGCAGCTGGTCACTGAGATCTGAGGGCAAACAGAAGCCTCGTGAGTTAGCGCGTAGGCATACGTGTACCCTTGAATGACATGAGATATTCCGGAGCTGAAAAATGAAAGCTACTTCCCAAAGAAAGCTGCTCTGTCTCAGATTCTGAAAGTAATGAAAAGATGGCCTATTTATGAAATTCTCAGTTTAACTCAAACTTGAGGTGCTGTGGGAAAAGATCTGCTGTCAGCTTATTCTAAAACAAAATGGGAAGAATGGGTTGTGAGCCAAATAATGCCAAAAAATGTACCAGTAGTTTTTAACATCAACAAACTTAATGTTATTCCACATGTATATGTGGAACATTATACATCCCACATCAGACATTTGGCAGCAAAACACACATTTCAGCACTATAAATAAAGTATGAAGATATGCTGTCAAGTATGATTTTGTTAAATTACTCCGACAAAAGACCTAAGAGATCATGCAATTACAGCTCTCATTTTCGAGATAAGAAGACCGAGTCTCTATATCACTGAGTGACTTGTGAAGTCATAGGGAATTCCGTGCAGAAGTTCAAAAAACAAAATTAATTTATTGAAATGTTTTCTTGATGATAGGAATATGCTAGGAAAACACTCATTGGAAGTAGACTAGGTAATTAGCGCAGTACATTTTGTTAAACGGGGGACGGTTGAGAGAAGCTAATAGTAATAGACATCGCTTGTTGAGTATTTACAAAGTGCCTGCCACCAGACTAATCACTTTCTATATATCATCTCATTGGCTCCACCTGAAAACCATTTGAAGGCAAATATGATTATTCCCATTTAGAGACAGAGAAGCTGAAAATTTAGCGACATTAACTAATTTATTCATATCCACATACCTAGGAAGTGACGGAGCCAAAGTTCGAACTCAACCATGTTGATGCACAGCCACTAGGCTATATTTGATAAGGCAGCCATATCAAAAGAGACTTTCAACATTACAGAAAATATCTCTTACCCAGGAAGGGAGGTTGGGAGGGACTCTTTACTAAGCCAGAAAGCAAAGTTGCACCCACATCAGGAGAATCCCACGAACCCAGCTCTGACACAGCCCATCAGCTTCCCTATGGAGCTCAGAATGCTTGAACCTTTACCTTGGAGGTGAAATCCTAGGTGCACGTGTATGGTCCTTTTATTTTAATATTCTCATGGATTTTCTAATGTATATAAGTTTAGTATTGTTTTAGTAGCAGAAACAGCTGGAGGTTGTGTCCTAGAGTGGGTGGGTGTGATGATTCTCCAAAGTAATCTTGTAATAGCTGGTCAGAGCTGAAGTTCTACTTGAAGAAAAACAAGCAAATGTGTTTTATATGGACTCCATTTTGTATGGAAAACCTTTATTCTCCGCAAATGAATCCATTTTAGCATGGAGTTCAGAGACTTTTCAGAGTAGTTCAAATGTGCGGCAAATAGCATTTTGAAATCCCCAAATTTGTTAGACCTGTGATCACTAGCAAATTTAACATAAACCTTTGAAATAGAAAGTGTGACCAAGTATTTTTATAAGTGAATGGATGGGGGAAAAATTTATATATAAAAAGAGAGAGCAGAAGGGAGAGATACAAACATCGATTTAAGAGACAAACATTGATGGGCTGCCTCCTGCACGCCCCCTACTGGGGATCAAGCCTGCAACCTGGACATGTGCCCTGACTAGGAATCGAACCGAGACCTCTCAGTCCATGGGACAATGCTCAATCCACTGAACCACACCAGCCAGAAAAAATATATATTTTTAAATTTTAATCTATAGCTGCAGCATGAAATTTCTCTAAACACAACCTTCCTGCCACAAAGTCAAATGTTAACAAGTCACAACCATTGAGAACATTCACCTTGCTGTTCTGAACCCTATTCAGACTTATTTTTTGATGAAACTTATTCTGTTTCTCGTTTAAATTTATGTCGCCAAGAACAGATGGACAAGGAATGGAAACATATTCTTTCAGCTGTAGCCGGCACTGAAATGTGCTTGGCTCTCCAGCCTGGGTGTTAACACGCGTGTTCCTCAGATATGTCAACCAGAAAGCCCCCCTGTGGCAAGCACTGAAACCCCAGATGTGTGTCTGGTGATATTTATAAAACAACCACCACCACAACAAAATTGAAGTTCATCGTTAGTATTACACATTTGTACTGCCTGATTCGCAAATAGGTGAAATGTTATGCTAATTTTTTTGTAATGATCTGGTTGATATGAACTATTCTACAAGGAACAAAACACGTTCTCACAACAGTTAATCTGTGAGCCCTAACTTTCCCATGAATCACAGGGATTTTCTCCACCCACACCATATTGCTACTGTCTACCACCCTCCTTCTCATTTTCTTTCTTTCTTTTAATTTGTCTTTGTTTTTCTCCTAGCAGAAATGTCCTGATATTCAACCCTACCATTAATAATCATTAATGAAGATAGTTCTTATGGGTTTAGAAGACCTACACTTTCAGTTTCATGTTCTTCTTATTTTGAATATGTTTTTATTGATTTTAGAGACAGGAAGGGAGAAGGATAGAGAGAGATAGAAACAACGATGAGAGAGAAACATAAATCGGCTGCCTCCTGCATGTCCCCAAACAGGGATTGAACTTGAAACCCAGGCATGCGCCCTGAACAGGAATCAAACCGGTGACCTTTCAGTGCATGGGACGGTGTTCAACCAACTGAGCCACACTGGCCGGGGCAAAATTTTCATGTTCCCGCTAACACAAAAAAACCACATAAAAATAGTGGAATATTTACTAACTCTGGTAAAGGTAAATAAATACCATTTTACTTTTAATTAGCTATTCAGAAAAAAGTCAAAAACTCCAAATCTGTGCTGCACAAATCTAGTCCCATAACACTTTCACAATGTCTGCAGTGTCTGTGCACAACTATATTGTCTTTGAGATCAAGGTCCTGATTGATTTCAGACTAAGATAGTTTCTGTCTATGTAACTTTGAACTCCCTGTATGTGGTAACATCTAAAAATATCAAAGACCTTCTTGCTTCACATTCTAGCTAAAATTTATTTTAAGTGCAAGACCCCTTGAGATGCCATAACCAACCAGACGAACCTACGTACTTGGTTTGCTACCTGGCTATTGATTTCGTATTGAGAGCTGGAGGAGAAAACTATAGCTCATGAGTAAAATCCGGCCCAACGCCAATGTTGGTATGGCTTGTGAGTTACAGAGGGTTTTTCTATGTTTACGAAGTGGAAAAAAAATTAAAGGATGATATAGTGTGACATCTGAAGATTCTATACAATTCAAATTTCGGTGTTCATAGCTGAGTTTTTCGGGGACTACAGCCACGCCCGTGCGTTCCGGGTTTGCCTGCCTACACACTGCAATAGCAGAGTCATTGCAACAGGCACGTGTTATCCAGAGCCTAAAACATCGACTCTCTGGACCATTGGAGGACAAGGGCCAGCCTCTGCTGCAGAGAAACAGGGACTCTCCAGGCCAAGGAGGTCCCCTGGAGCTGTTCAGTGGCATCGCGGTGGCCTGGGCATCCCGACTCCTCTGCGTGGAGCAGCTGTCCCCAACCACGGAGCCTTTGCACGCGTGGACCATGGTCTCTCACCATCAGTTTGCATTCGTTGTGAAATACCCAAGTTTCCAAAAACTCGATGACAAAAGAAACAGAGCAGTCCCCCTGGAGTGAGAGAGGAAGAGGAGGAGTGGTAGGTAGGAAGGCAGAAGGGCATCCGGACCTGAACTCGGCTGGGGCACCAGAAAGCACCGAGAAACCCCACATCCTGATACTCCCCAGTGTTTGTCCAGCCCGAGGAAGACACTGCTTTTGTTCAGAGAAAACCTGATTTTTCTGAACTAGTTAATGTGTCTTTCCAATGGCTCCGTGGGGGTGACAGGGGCAAGAGAGTCTGCCGAATTTGGTCTGTTCATATTTAAAATAAAAAAGTCTAGAATAGGCGCTTCAGAAGGAATACACTTGATAAAATAACCCAAATTGGGACATATTAGAGCAAGATTCTCAACACAGGGTCAGTGACTCTGAATGCAGGAAAACAGTTTTATTTACACGAACATATAATTGAAGACAAGCACTTCTTTCAAGTACAAATTTAGGGAAGAAACCACAGTTGTAGTGAAAATACCTGCGACTTTGTCATTAACAGAGATCACAGATATTACCAAAATTCTGTGCCACACCAAAAATATATATTTTTTGCTGATATAATAAAATTTAGGTATAATTTGGTTGGTTTACAATAATAGTAGTAGTAGTAGTAATTACCTACCTACCCTGTTTGCTCCAAAGTGACTTTTCAAAAAAAAAATCAGGTGCCTATACTTATATATAAGGATTTCTGGTACCAAGAATTAACCCATCAGAAACAACCTTAAGATGTGACTCTATTATATGACCTATACCTTTACGGTTCAAGACAGGGTGTTCACACCACAAGGCTACTGCTGTATTGGCCATTGTCATTTTTTAAATTTGACAGTCTAAGGGAAAAGAGGTCAGTGCCCCTGACCTGTTTACAAACACAGACTAAACAGGTGTTGCATGTTTTAAGAATTCTTGCAGTACACGAGCTGAAAATCTCTGCCTTATCACATTATAGTTGTTGCCATGTTTTAAAATGCTATTTATACTAATTATTACTTTAAAATCTTAATACTTATTGATCCACTGTCAGATTATTAAAGATAATTTATTAATAAAGAAGCTCATATATTATTGAATCAAAATTTTAGCAGCATTTCAATATAATTAGTTTTTTTTTAACCTGTAACACTTTGTTAGCCTGTATATACTTCTATGAGTTTTAAAACATTGCTCTCAGAAGAGTCTGCAGATTTTGCCAGACTTGCAGAGAGGACCGTAGCACCAAAATGGTGAGAAACCCTGCCTTAGAGTTTAATTTGCCTTTGACTTTGTCCGTCTTTCCTGGGTGCTGTTAGTGCTGCATTACTTTATTATGCAGGTAATCAGGGGATATGAATGTGAGAACCTGAGAGTTGGGTGAGGTA